CTCCCTGAGGACTGGTAGGCTTTGGACTCTCACTCCCAATCTGACATTTCTCCCCACAGGGGCCCCTGGCATCCGGACAGGCATCCAAGGCCTTAAAGGAGACCAGGGGGAACCCGGGCCCCCTGGAAGCCCCGGCAAGATGGGCTACCCAGGGCCCAGCGGCCTCCCCGGGATCCATGGCATGCCGGGAATTAAAGGCATCAAGGGCAATCCAGGAAACATCAGGGACCAGCCGCGGCCGGCCTTCTCGGCCATTAGGCGGAACCCACCGATGGGAGGCAACGTGGTCATCTTCGACACGGTCCTCACCAACCAGGAGGGCCCGTACCAGAACAACTCGGGCCGCTTCGTCTGTGCTGTGCCTGGCTACTATTACTTCACCTTCCAGGTGGTGTCCAAGTGGGACATCTGCCTGTTCATCGCATCCTCCTCCAGGGGCCAGGTCCGACGCTCCCTGGGCTTCTGTGACGCCAACAGCAAGGGGATCTTCCAGGTGGTGTCGGGGGGCACGGTGCTTCATCTCCAGCGGGGTGACCAGGTCTGGATCGAAAAAGACCCCAGTAAGGGCCGCATTTACCAGGGGTCCGAGGCTGACAGCGTCTTCAGCGGCTTCCTCATCTTCCCGTCTGCCTGAGCCAGGAAAGGACCAACCCCCGCCCCCCGCCCCACCACCGCTCTGGCTTCCAGGCTCTGCTCTGTAAAATGGGGGTGCTGTTGCTTTAGCTGCTGAAGAGAGAGGGCTGGCTCCGAGAGCCCCAGGACTTGCTGCCCCATGACAGAAACCAGAAGCTGGTTTCTCAGAACTCTTCCTGGAATAAACATCTGTGTCTGTGTCTGCTGGACTTGCGCTTCAGTTGCTACTCATTGAGAGAGAGGCCTAAGAACGATAGCAATTGAGTGCTTAAGAGGCAGGCTCATGCTTAGTTTTTTTTTTTTGAGACAGAATTGCAATCTTGTCACCCAGACTGGAGTGCAATGGGACAATCTCTGCTCACTGCAACCTCTGCCTCCTGGGTTCAAGCAATTCTCCTGCCACAGCCTCCCGAGTAGCTGGGACTACAGGCGCCTGCCACCACACCTGGCTACTTTTTTGCATTTTTAGCAGAGAAGGGGTTTCACCATGTTGGCCAGACTGGTCTCGAACTCCTGACCTCAAGTGATCCGCCTGCCTCAGCCTCCCAGAGTGCTGGGATTACAGGCGTGAGCCACCACACCTGGCACATCCCTAGTATTTCAGGTGATATGTTTAGCAGGTCCCAGCACCATCGTTGGCCTGGGTTAGAATCCTGATGCCACCATTTCTTAGCTGTCTGATCATGTGCATGTTACCCAAGCTCTGAGATCTGTTTCCCTATTTGTTAAGTGGGACTGATGATAGTATCTACCTCAAAGGGTCATTGGGAGGATTCAATGATGTAGTATGAAAATTGTAGAGCACTGCTTGGGTCATAAAAAGGGCTATGGAAGTTTCGCCATTGTTAGATTTTGTTCCATCTTTATCACCAAGCTCTCTGTGTGGTGTGATGGCCCTGCATTGCAGATGATGAAACTGAGGCTGTGAGGAGCAGGCATAGATCAGCAAATCAGCTTCGAACGGGAGGAGCTGGGGCCTGGGCATGGTGGCTCATGCCTGTAATCCCAACACTTTGGGAGAACAAGGCAGGCAGATCACCTGAGGTTGGGCGTTAGAGAGCAGCCCGGCCAACATACAGTGAAGCGCCATCTCTCCTAAAAATACAAAAATTTGCTGGGTGTAGTGGTACATAGTCCCAGCTACTTGGAGAGCTGAAGCAGGAGAATCACTTGAATCCAGGAGGTGGAGGTTACAGTGAGCTGAGATTGCACCACTGCACTCCAGCCTGGGTGACAGAGTGAAACTCCATCTCTCAAAAAAAAGGACAAGGTGGGGTGGGGAGGAGCTGGGATTTGAACCCAAGTCTTACTGATGCCCAAACCTGTGTTTAACCACTACCCTCACCAGCCTCTCCGTCTTCTATGAAGCACTTGACACATCACAGGTGCTTTTCCAACCTGTTTTGGGAAGGCAGGGGCAGGAATCAGAAAGGGGAAGCAGTTGGCCCAAGGGCACTCAGCAGTCCTTTCTGGAGCCAGGTTTCCTGAGTCCAGCCCTGAGCTTCCCCCTAGCCAGGTGTAGAGGCCAGGGCTGCTTTCTCTGCTTCCTGCTGGATGTTCCACGGGGGAGGTGGGGGTTGTGCTGGGAGAGTGGTGAATGCTCACAGTGCATTTCAGGGCCCTATTTGTCTGTCTGGAAGCTGCTACAAAGTAGCAAACCCTACCCTGTCCCTGAATGTGGGAGAAATCAGGAGATCAGGAGTTCAGACCCGAAAATGTCCAATACCCTATGCAGTTTATCAAAGGAAACTGGGTTCATCTTTGTGCTACACACACACACACACACACACCCCAGTTACACCTTCACACCCACAGGCTCAGTCAGGGAGGCACAGCCATCATACCACATAGCCCCTGCCTCAGACATACAAGTAGCATCCATGAACCATCGAATCTTTCTCTCTCTTACACCCCCTGAGACTCGTGCCCCAAACACATTCCTTACACCCAGAGGCACACATCCTCCTCCCTCCAGCATGCTCGAGCCCCACAATGCCTGTGTCGTCTCCCACACGGACCCCCATACACTCGAACTCCCACAGGGCCATCCTCAGAAACACAGGGGCTGTCCCTCCCACCCACAGACTGACGCACAGATGACCTTACATCCTCGAGTGCACAACCTGAATACCCACCTCTAAAGTACAAGACCCTCTTCTGGGACTGCCCCGTCCTGCCAACAGGGTTTGGGGGATCGGGAAGAAGTGAGGGGGTCCCAGGGAAAGAGGGAACCCTCCATCCCAGGGAAAGAGGAAACCCTCCACAGTCTCAGGGCAGCCCCTAGCTCCCTCCCGGGGTCAGCTCTGCCCATCTCTCCCCATACCTTGCCCACCCACATCACACGCTGTTTAAGAGGCACCAGGGAAAGAGACAAGTCTTCAGGCACCTACATTCTGGCCAGTCCACGGCCATTGATGCACTCAATCCCAGGAAAATTGATGTGGATGCTGAGGCTCAGAGAAAGGGGACATCCACTCAAGGACTCACAGACAGAAAGGGGTAGCGGCCTGGGGTTGGACCAGGGCTACCAGACCCCACAGGGTTAGGGCACGCAAAGAAAATGCCAGGGGTGGAGGCCGCATCAGTGAGAGAAACGGGGTGTGCAGGGAGTGCCTGACCGCCCCCTTACCCTAAATCCTACCCACACCCCATCATCCACCCACTACACAAGGCAAAATCTCTGGCTCCTCTGGGAGGGGAATGAGCTGGAGCTGGAAAGGGGCCAGGTGGGCGGGGCATGAGAGGGCTGAGTGTGGGCCGAGGCTGCCACCTGCTGGACAAGCCAGAACCAGGCACAGAGGAGGTGTAAAGGGAGGAGAGGAGCCCAGAGCCATTAGGCTGGGTGGCCTTCAGCCCTGTAATGCAATGTCCATCATTTCTGCTCATCCCAGTCTTCCAAACCACTAGGGACTTCTGAGGCAAAGTGCATTCATGCCCCTTAACTCATCCCACACTCTGCAGCCCTACAGCACAGGGTGGAGATACAGGTGGGGAGACTGAGAACATAAGGTTTTCTTAGCGCGGCAGGGGCAGAGCTCTGAACACCTGACCGTGCCTGGCACAGGGCAAGGCACTGATGTGTGTTATTCACTGAATCCAGCCACTGTCCTGCATGGGAGCTATTGGAAGCCCCCATGTTTCAGAGGAAGACCCAATGGACACAGGTGGCAGGTGTGGGGTCAAGGCTGGAGCCCCGCTACTGCCTGACAGCCCCTTCATTCCTAGAATCTCATGTAAGAAGAGGGAGAGGGGAGGGTCCTCTCAGCTCTGCCAGCCTGGTCCTGACCAGGAGCCCCTCACCAGCCGTGGTGGGCTCCAAGCCCAGAGTCAGGGCATGCCCAGGATGCAAGTGAAGAAGGTGGTGTTGGCAGGGAAGGTGGAACCGTCAGGGAAGACCAGGGGCCCCAGCAAAGGAAGAGGCACCAATATGGGAAGCCGAGACCCCTGGGGTGGACAGAAGGAAGGCTAGAGGGACCGGTGATTTGCTGAAGGCATCTGGTCCATGGAGTGACAGGGCTGGAAGGAGAAGCCGGGGCCCTGACTCTGTAGCCAGGACAGCCCATGCATCACAGCCCCTGCCTGCCTGCCATCCAAGCGGCTCCATCCTGGGGGTCCAGCTCCAAGCTTGGCCACTGGGATGGGGCGCATGGAAGTTTCTGGAACAAAGCTTGCCACTTGATAAGTGCATTCGAGGCTTGTTTCTGGGGGAAGTTGAGCAGAGGGATCAGAGAAAGGCTTTGGGCCCCAAGAGACCATTCGGTGTGTGACTTTGGGCAATGGTGTACATCCCACACACACGCCACACACACGCACACACACGCACACCAGATACACCTCAGTTTCCTCATCTGTAAAGGGGGAAAATAACTTCCTCCTAGGGATGCTGGGAAAACTGAGTCTCAGGCACAGAAAATGCCAGCGCTGGGCATTAGATGGGCTGAACCTGACTCTGGGGGACGTCTGTGCCTTGGGGGCTTGTGTACACACACACACACACACACACACACCACACACACCACACACACCACACACACACACACCGCGCACCACACACACCGCACACACCACACACACCACACACCACACACCACACACACACACACACACCACACACACCACGCACACATGCACACCACACACACCACACATACCACGAACACACACACCACACATACACCACACACACACCACACACCACACATACACCACACACACACATGCCCTCAGCCAGATGCTGGGGCAATGGACATTTCCTCATTTCAGACACTCATGACTGCCGGTGGGATTGTGGACGGGGGTGTTGCTGTGGTCAGTCTGGCTCAGCACCCAAAAGAAAGTGTCAAGTCAGGGAAAATTCTGGGAAAGGGGATGTGGGATTGGGGAGGGCATGAGAAGGGGAGAGGGCCCAGCCCTGCTCTGGGCAATCCTTGCTCTGACCACTCTGACACCGTATCCTCTTGCCTGGGAGAGGGGAAGCAGATCTGAGGACATCTCTGTGACCAGGCTAGAAGCTGCACACCTGCAGGTGAGGGCAGATGGCCATTCCCCCCACCTTCCACCACCTTCCTGAAACGTGGTGCCAGGGCAGCTTGCTGTGTGAGGGGAAGGAGGGCTCCCACTCCCTGCTGGGCCCCGGGACCTGGGCTTAAGAAGAGGTGTCACCATCCATCCATGGTGAGGCTCCCGGGGGAGGCAGGGAGGCAGGATCCCGAGAGCTGGGGAGGACGAGCCCTGGGGAATGAGAGGGTTGGCAGGGTGGGGGAAGGTGAGAGGCTGGGGGCCAGATCAGCTCTCTCCCTCCCAGCTCCTTCTCCGGGATGGATGTGGGGCATGGCTCCCACTTTGGGCTGAACCTGCTGCTGCTCCTGCTGCTGCTGCTGCCCCTCAGGAGCCAGGCCAACACAGGCTGCTACGGGATCCCAGGGATGCCCGGCCTGCCCGGGGCACCAGGGAAGGATGGGCACGATGGACTGCCAGGGCCCAAGGGGGAGCCAGGTGAGTCTGCTGGTTTGGGGATTGGGGTCTGGGGCGGGGATCAGAGTGTTTGGGGCTGACCAAGGGGTGGGGACAGCAGGAAGTGCATTCCCTTGCTGCCACGGCTGCCCCTGGGCAGAGCTGGACTCTCACTGTGGGTCTGGCTCCTCTATCCTCAGAGCCCAGGCTTCAGGCCTCCCCAGAGGTGACATTGGGCCTGGCACACCTCCACGCTCCTCCTCCTCCTCACCTGATTATAGGAAGGGAATAAGAGTGCCTACCCCCAGAGGTGGCCAGGGGGCTCCCAGGAGACAGTGCAAGGAAAGTCTTCTTGCCCTGCAACATGGGCACCTGGGAAGTGAATATATCCAGTGCAGGACTGTCAGAGTTCAAATCCCAGCCCCACTGAATCCCTCTGTGAACCCAAACAAGTTACTTAACCTTATAGTGCCTCAGTTTCCTCATCTGAAAAATAAGATGGTTGCTGTGAGGAGTAGGTTAACTTAAATATAAAACAGCCCTGAGCACCTGGGAGCTCTATACAGGTGTAGGCTATTGAATCATCAGTTATATCAGAGATCCGTGCTCACCTCCCTCCTTAGGATTCTGGATAGTTGGAAGGGTGGGGAGAGAGAGGTCAGGCTCACAGCCAGAGAAGCTTCTGTTAAAGGCCCACAGGCAATCGTTGGCATAAGAGAAGGGGCTGAGGCTTGGTGGAGCCCTGGGCATGTGAGTGCTGTGTCTGTGAGCAAGCTGTGCACGTCTGGGACGCTAGGTGTGTCTGGAGCTGGCCTGGGGTGAGACTGAGCAGAGGTGATGGGGGAGTCCTGCACCCCTCAGGAGCCAGGCCAACACAGGCTGCTACAGGATCCCAAGGATGCCCGTAGGACATAGGACAGGGGCGGTGGAAGGGAGGGAGGCCAGTGGAGAGGAACGTCCTTAGGAGTGGCCTCACCATCATCTTCCCTCCTGGATAGATGGGCTGGCATCAACATTCCAGAAGGAATTCTCCAATTTAGGGTGAGCTCAGTGAGGCCCCCAGGTGTGCCATTTTCCAGGACCTTGTACTTCACAGCTGCCTCTGCCCATCTCCCTGCCCGGGTAGCTGATGGCCCCCTGTGATTGAACTCCCAAGTCCCAGGCATGGTCTCAGTTTCAGGAGTGATAAAAAGAGGCCACCATCCCTTGAAGAAGTGGTTGACTCTCATTTTGCAAATGTCAAAGCTGGGGTTCAGAGAGTTTGAGAAACTTGTCCAAAGTCACACAGTGGGATCCTGCCCGACTCCCAAGCCCTCATTCTCCACTGCTGCCCTCGGCTGCCACTCCAGCCCCACTCCATTGCTATTTCCTGGTGCTTTCCCAATTGATGATTTGAGGACATCACAAAGGATGAGATGCTGCCTCGCTCAGCATCACCAGCAGCCACCACAAGGACCAGACCCTCCAGAGCACACTCCTATGTGTGCCTGGCACTGTGCATTCTCCCACTCCACCCTTTCGGGGACTCCCTGTTCTATCATGCACGTATCTCAACTGAGCAAACACAGGCTCAGGGAGGGAGGTCACCCACCCAGGGTCACAGGCCTGAAGGCCAGGTCTGCTGGTTCCCAATCCCACACTCCTAACTCTGAGGCCTAACAGGTTTACAAGCCATAAAGGATCTGTCACAAATGTGTCTGCACAGACATCCAGCCCTATGGAAGTCAGAGGAGGAAAGGTAACATGAGGGCTGGTGGGAGTGGTCAAGGAGGGCTTCCTGGAAGAGGAAACTGGAGTCAGACCTTAAAAGATGGGTATGATTTAGATAAGGGGAGAAGAGGCTCACAGGCTCAGATCATCAGAGCTGGAACAAAATGAGACACTGGGATTCTCCAGACTTGAGTTAGAGACCTGACTCCACCTCATACTGGCTTCATGGCCTTGGGCAAGTCTCTGACTCAGTTTCCTCATTGGTAACATGAGGGAAGTCAAACCAGGCCAACTGTCATGGGGGCTGATGTGGGCTGAGTGGGGCTGAGGCGAGCTGGAGAGAGCCGGCCCCATAGTGGGCTCCATCCAGTGGTTCCCAGGCACTAACGCCAGCCTGGGGCGGGGGGGCGGTCCATCTCAGGAATGGACATAGGTTGTGTAGGACTCTGAAGCTTATAAAATGTTGAGGGTCCTCATTATGAAAAACAATACACACTGACAGGTACGCTTACTGCAGAGGGGAGAGTGGTTACAAAAATTTACACACATGACAAAATTGTATTGGAACCACACACACAAAGTATATATAAAACTGGCGAAGTCTACATAAGCTCCGTGAATTCTAGGCAGCTCAAGTTCCTAGTTTTGACATTGTACTTACGTTATGCAAGATGTGTCATTGGGGAAAACTGAGTGAAGCATCCCTGTTCTTTATTTTTTTCAACTTTCTATGACTCTATAATTATTTCAAAATAAAAAGTTGAAAAAAAAAAAGAGAAACACAAAATTAGGTGAAAAGCCTGAAGGGGCTGATGCAAATGGACAGAACCTGGAGCTTAAGCTGCCTCCAACTGGCCTTCTGGGGATTTTGTCAAGAAGGTCTGAGAATTTCACATTTTAAGTGAGTTCTGAACTTGTTCACATTGGGCTTTAATTAAACATTTCAAAAATCGCTGTGGAGGCCACATGGTATCTGTGGTCACATGCCATCTGTGCTTGGGCTGACAGTTATGATAACTGAGATCCCGCCCAGCTCTGAGCTCCCTACTTGCTCCATCACAAATGTGGAAACTGAGGCCAAGAGATGGGGAAGTGCCCTAGACAAGGTCAGAGGGCAGGTCAGTGGAGGAGCAGGACTTGGACCAGACTCTCTCTCCCTTCCGGTCAAAGCCTGACTCCCTGCACCCTACTTCTAGGAGACAGAAGGAGATTCTAGAGACCAAATACTAGTGCTGTGTTCCCTGGAGGACACCCCCAGGGCCCCTCTTCCCTGTCCCCCACCCTATCACTGTCTTTCTGCCTTCTCCATCTCCAGGAATCCCAGCCATTCCTGGGACCCGAGGACCCAAAGGGCAGAAGGGAGAACCAGGCACACCTGGCCATCCTGGGAAAAATGGCCCCATGGGACCCCCTGGGATACCTGGGGTGCCTGGCCCCATCGGCATCCCTGGAGAGCCAGGCGAGGAGGGCAGATACAAGCAGAAGTACCAGTCAGTGTTCACGGTCACTCGGCAGACCTCCCAGTTCCCCGCAGCCAACGGCCTGATTATCTTCAACACGGCGGTCACCAACCCGCAGGGGGATTACGACACGAGCACTGGCAAGTTCACCTGCAAGGTCCCGGGCCTCTACTACTTCGTCTACCACACGTCACAGACGGCCAACCTGTGCGTGCTGCTGTACCGCAACGGCGTCAAGGTGGTCACCTTTTGTGACCACATGTCCAACACCAAGCAGGTCAGCTCCGGCGGAGTGCTGCTGCGGCTGCAGGTGGGCGAGGAGGTGTGGCTGGCTGTCAATGACTACAATGGCATGGTGGGCATTGAGGGCTCCGACAGCGTCTTCTCCGGCTTCCTGCTCTTCCCCGACTAGGGCGGGCAGGTGGGCTCCAGCCCCATGGGCCATCCACCTCCCATAGCGTCCTGCATGGACCCACGTTACTGGCCAGTCTGCATCCTTACCTAGACCATTTTCCCCACTGGATGGACTCCTCCTCCAGGAAGCCCATCCTGACCACTGCCCCTTCCATGGGTTCTCTCCCTCCTCTGAACTCCTTTTGGAGTCACTGCTTGTGCAGTTCCTGTGACACTTAACCAATACCTTTTGGTACTGCCATTTGTTTTTTTTTTAAGTATTGGAAGGGGTGGAGAGATGTATAAATAAACAGTGAAATCAATAAATATGCCTGGCTCAGATTCCTCATTGCTGGTTCCTTGGACTTCAGATCTTCGACTTGGCATCATCCATAGCTGTCTGTGGGCTCTGGACTCAGGACATCTGGCTGGTGCTCAGGGAAATCTTGGCTGCCAGTTTTAGGACACTCAGCACCATTTGGCCAGGTGGGAGAGAGATGTTCTAAGAGTGGTTACAGGCTGCCAGAGGTCCCCGAGGGATCACCTGCTGTCCCCTGTCTGGGGGGAGAGGCACTGCCATCATGAAAGGTATCCAAGCTCACAGGTAAATGGGAGTCTGACTTCCCGGGCCTGTGCTGAGCTTCAGGAGCATTTACCATGGGAGGGAATTGGGCTTGGGGAAGCCCAGTACAGACAAAGACAAGACGTGCAATGAATTTGTGCTGAATGAATAAGAAATTGGTGTGAATTAATGAATGCATAAGTGGGTAAGTAAACGGCTAAAAGCAGAGTAAATGAATGAATGAAAAAATCATAACAGCTAACATTCACTGAGCACTGAGTATATGCCAGGCATTGCGCTAAGCACTTTATACATATAGACTCATTAAACATCCATAATCGTGCTCTGAGATGGGCATGAGCGGGAGAGAGAGAGGGAATTGGCCCCCCAGAAGTCTGGCCTGCCCCAAATAACTCACAGACTCTGGGACTCCCAGGAGATTTGAAACCGCTGCTGCCCACCAGCCATCAAGTTTGACTGGGAGGTTGTTGGTGGGTGGACCCGGCCACCATGGTCCTTGTGGAGGATGACGGAAGCCCACTACTTGATGTTGCAAGTGCAAAAAGATAAGAAGTATAACTTTCCTATGCAGACTCACGTCCAGTTCTCAGCTCCCAGTCAGACTCCAGGCTCACTCTAGCCTGGGAGAACCTGGTCCATCCTGGCTGTGGTCACAGCGCGGTTCCACAAAGCCCCACAGAGTCATGGAAGCCCCAGTCAACTGAGGCATGGGCTAAGAGCAGCGGCTCAAGCTGAGTTCTACCACCGCCTCCATTCACTTTGGCTCCTCTGTTTGGGAGGGGCTGTGTCACACCTCCCTGCCTTTGCCCATGCAGTCCCTCCCACTCATGCAAATCATCTTTCCACCTGGATAATATTTACTCAACTGTCAGGAGTCAACACAAACACTACCTCCTCCATGAAGCCTTCTTCGATTTACCCCTTGGGTCCCCACAGTGCCCTCCACAAATTTGGACACAAATTCATGACTCCTTAGAGCCCAGGTTCTCAAATCAGGTGGTGAATAAAATTAACCTAAAGGCTTATATAAAACAAAACAAACAAAACCAGATCTCTCAACTCCAGGCTGTTTTATAAAGGTTTGGGGAAGACCAGGCTATAAATGGCTTGGCGGTTTGCAGGGGAATCTGACGCACACAGCCCACCCACTAGGCTCTTGTGCACTTATTCACTTACAGGTCTGCCTTCCCTCTAGACTATAAGAATCCTTGACATAGGGCCCCTTCCATACACACCTGCCACATAACTGGGCATAAAAAGTGTGTAAGATGGGAAGGAGGACGAGAAATACAGACACACACACATTACACATACACATATATACACATGCATATAAAGGCACATGTACACACACACACATACACACATATACATATAAACATACACACATATACCATACATACGCATATATGCATACAAACATATACACACATAAATACAAATATACACATATATGCATACATACACATATACACATACATATATAGGCACATGCACAGACATGCACTCACATACACACATGAATGCATACGCATACACATATACACATTTATACACATACACAGACATGCACAGACATACACACATATACACATACAAAAATATACCTATATACACACACACATATCTACACATACACACATACGCAGACTGATGCACATATACATATATACACATACACACATACATACACATATATACAAATATGTTATTCACACAACACATAGATATGTGCATACACACAGAAACATACAGACACATATATACATACACATACACGTATATACACACATACATATACATACACATACATTGACACACACACAGACATCCAGACATCCACACACATTCACAGACACACACATAGACATTCATAGACACTCGTGCACACATACATGCAGATATACACACAGACGCATACACATATACACACGTATATGCACACGCATACACACACATACATATATATGCACACGCTTACATACACATACAGAAATCCACAGTGGGAGAGCAGGGGCCAGGGGCCGAGGAACCCGGTCAGTTCACTGAGTCCAGTGCCCCTGGCAGGGACGGTGTGAAGGCCACGTCCACGGCATCCACTGCTCTCTTCCACCAGCCCCTTAGCTGTCCACCTGGGGACGTCGAAAGTGATACATCTTCCTTCTCGTTTCTCTTTTGTTTAAAAAATCAATACCCTGTTTCTGCAGGCCACAGTGGCAGATCAGAAACCGGTACTTTGGAAACGACAATTTTCGTGCCATTGTTATTTTCCGTAATTGTTTCCTTGTTGCTCTCTCTTCGTCAGGGGAGGCTGGCCTTTGAAAATGCCAGCTTGTCTACCTTGCTGAGGGGAGGCGGGTGAGAGTTTTCCAGCGGGGCAGGCAAGGAGGGGTGGACGTGGGGCAGAAGACAGGACAAGACACCCCAAGCCACAAGGAACCCCTTTCTGACCAGGGGAAGGTGAGGGTGCAGGCTTCTTCTGCTCTGCAGGGATCAGGGTTTCCACTCTCTATCAGGGATGCCAGTCCAAAATTTCATGGCTGCAGACACCAGCTGGCTCCCATCAGGAGTCAAGGCCCAGGGACCCCTCAGCTCCTGATTCCCAAGTCCAGGCCTCCTAATCCAGGGATAGCTTCTTTACTCCTGGGTTCCAAGAATTGCATCTTCTCTTCATGTAAGTTATACCGTTCCCGTGTTTGCAGTGGGCACCCACCAAGGGCTGGGCACTCAGCTAGCCCTGGACATAGCAGAGTGACCTCGCTGGCCCCGCAACAGCCCCAGGAGATAGGTGTTCGTGCCTCCCATTTCTACACGAGGAAACCGAGGCCAGTAAACCTTCCTGAGGCCACATAGTTAGCAAGAGGCCGAGCTGGGATTCAAACTGCCAAAGCCTGTGCTCTTAACCCACCTCTGCTACTTTCTCTTCTTAGCCTCACTGCTTCTACCCCAAATTCACGTCCACCTTTTCCCATTGCCATTAGCCACCTAAGAATTTGTGGCACAGGGGCCAGGCACAGTGGCTCATGCCTATAATCCCAACACTTTGGGAGGCCAAGGCAGTCAGATCACTTGAGGTCAGCAGTTCGAGACCAACCAACATGGTTGAAACCCTGTTTCTACTAGAAAAATACAAACATTAGCCGGGCTTGGTGGCATGCACCTATAGTCCCAGCTACTCAGGAGGCTAAAGTAGGAGAATCAATTGAACCCAGGAGGCAGAGGCCTCAGTAAGCCAAGATCACATCACTGCACTCCAGCCTGCGAGACAGAGCGAGACGCCATCTCAAGAAAGAAAAAAAAGGGCCGGGCGTGGTGGCTCACGCCTGTAATCCCAGCACTTTGGGAGGCTGAGGCGGGTGGATCACGAGGTCAAGAGATCCAGACCATCCTGGTCAACATGGTGAAACCCCGTCTCTACTAAAAATACAAAAAATTAGCTGGGCATGGTGGCGTGTGCCTGTAGTCCTAGCTACTCAGGAGGCTGAGGCAGGAGAATTGCCTGAACCCAGGAGGCGGAGGTTGCAGTGAGCCGAGATCGCGCCATTGCACTCCAGCCTCGGTAACATGAGCAAAACTCTGTCTCAAAAAAAAAAGAAGAATTAGAGGCCCAGGCCCACTCAGCTTTGGGAACTCCCAAAACCCCTTGACTTGCAACCTACTAACTCCCCTCTCCTTCTGTGGAATCCCCTGCTTCTGATGAATGCCCTAGCCTGGGTCCCTTTGGGTTCATAGTTGACTGGGCTCAGAGTCCTTCTGGTCTTATGAAGCTTATCTTTCCCTCCTCTTCACCCACTGCGGTTAACACTTATTTCCATCAAGCCGCATCCACCAGCCCAGTGATTTTCCATCTCCAGGCACAGACATCAAGAGGACCGGCCCTCCAGCTCCCGGTGCTTGCCGGTCTTCACATCGTCTTAGATGCAGCCACAGGGAGAGGGAGGCTGATACCCCAATGCCAGGGACGCCAGCTTCCAGACCTGTGTCTGCCATTTCCATGAGGCATAGGCCCCAGCAGTCACGTCTTTCTGTGACATTTATCACAGGAGCAATGAAGCCTCATGTCCTTCTGTGTTTAATGCTGGTCTCCCCCCATGGAAGGGAGGCCCCGTGGGGACAGGGACCATGGCCAATTTGCTAAGAGCTCTCCCTTCAGTGCTTAGCACATGGAGGGGAACACACAATATTCGTTAAATGGTGGCTCTCCCCTCCGGGCCTCAGTTTCCCTGTATATAAAATGAGGAGGATGGGCTGAGTAATCTCAGCCCCTCTCCAGCCCTAACTTGGTGTGATTCCAGGATCAAGAGGAAGCAACAGGCCCCTGCCTGGGCCTATTACTGTCACCAGCTTCAAGCCCTGCTGGAAGCAGAGGGAGGGGCATCAATAAATAACGAACACATTTAAAATGCATTATGAGATTGTCTTCTGAGAACAGGGAAAGAGCAGGGGCACAGAACGGGAAGGAAGCAGAAGGGATGAGCCCAGAAAGCAGAAGCCTGGGATATGAAGTGATATTAACAATGAACACGTGCACAGCACTTTACAGTTTACCCCCACACACTTTCTCCCCCATCATTTCCTCCATTATCCTCCCAGTGGCCCGTGAGATCTGTATCTGTAGAGCAGATATAATTATGGTCCCATCTTATAGCAGAGAAAATTGGGGCTCCCTTGGGGTTCCCTTGACTGAGAACATGTAAGCTGGCAAGTGGCAGAGCCGGGATCGGATTCAAAGTCTCTGACTCTAAG